CAGCAGCCCACCCCTTCCAATGCCATGCATCACTACGCACAAAACATCCGCCAAAACTTTCCCTTCGAAGACCCCGTGTATCAGTCATCTCCTGGCCCTGCTCCCGAACAGGCGTACTTGAACGCCCCGCTTCAGCAGGCGCCTCCCGGTGTATCCAACACTCTATGGAACAACTCCAGTCAAAGTAGCTTCGTCGACAGCAGGATCCCGTTCCTGGACTACTCACTCCAGGCCCAAGTCAACGCCGAGCCGCTCCATCCATCCGTCTCGCAGCACAGCAACTTGAGTGCCGACAACGGCTTGCTTGGAGGGATCTTGCTTCCCTCCACATCGCATTACTCAACCTCCAACAGCATCTGGCTGGATCGATATGTGGGTGCCAACTACGGCCACAACCGCACTGTGTCCTCGGGAAGCCACCTCTGGCGGAACGAAGGCGCACGCCGGGAAAAGTCGCCTGCTACTGGCTTTGTTTCCGAATTCTTGCCCTTCTCGCTGAATACGCTTCCATCGCAAAATGGGTCCACGGAGCCCCACGACCAGCCCGACTACGACATCAGGCTGATGTGAGTCCGGATTTGCATATTAGGTTTTAGATGTCCTGAATTCTTTGTTTTTTTTTTTTTCTTCCAAACTGAAGGAGCTGTCCTTTCATTTTCTTTCGAGCTTTATGGCGGTGTCGTGTCTGGGAGCCAGACACGCTCAGGTTATGTTTCATTGTCGGGAGCCAGACACGCTCAGGTTATGTTTCATTGTCGTTGTTGAACAACGGTAGCAGGTGACCGTATACTATCGCCATGCCAACTAAAGAAAACTGCGCTCCGATGCGAGACGCCATAGAAGATATAGTTGGAAATACTTGAAGGGGTCATCACTACCGTGCAAGATGAAACCGTTACACCTTGCGCATTTTGTACATATTATTTAAATGAGAAGCATTCAGGGAATAGAATACATACATGTACATGTCTGTCAAGGACATGTTATTGAAATGCCAGATTTGCAGTCACCGTTCTATTCATCCAAAGAGCATCAACCGAAAATACGGCGGGTTTTCCGTGTTCCAGACCGTCAAATGGAAAACCAAGCTGTGCATACTATAATTCGAGAAAGTCTGAACCATGAAGATGGACTTAGAAGATGGTTTATTTCGTGTGCAATTCTCACAGAAATTGCCTTGAGATAGTAGTTCATTTAAATGAACATGCTTTGTGCACCAACTTGTAGAAATCTAAATCTGCGTCCATGAGCTTATTGTGTAGTCGGAAATTACTAGTTACAATGAAGATAAGACAGGGTACTGTTCGTGGTTTCGTGCGTGTTGGGCTCACTATTTCGAGGAAACATGCAAGTCTTTCCCAGTTCCTTTTTTGCAAGTGAAGTCCCGAAAAGAGAAATTTGGGAATGAGGGAAACGCTAGCCGGGGGTCTAGGCTCATCAAAATTTGTGTCATTGGGAAAGTGGGTCTAAGTAGCTGCAGAATGTAGGGCGGTCCAAATATATGGCCGAGATATATAGGCGGTATAATACGTGATTGGACTTCCGTGTCGAGCAGCGGAAAAAGTATACACGCTAGAGCCAGTCACGTCTTTAAACAAATAGTATCCGAGAGCGAGCGGAACTGCGGGAACAAGGATTACAAAAACCATAGAAACATCCAGAGAGAGAGAGTTTACAAATTGTGATAGTTGATACATGGTGAGATAGCTATTAAGTTGGGAACGAGACAGCGAGTTGCACGCCACACAACATCCAAGCTGGCGCATGGCAAGAAAGAAGGCAGACAAAAAGTTCCGTGCACATTTTGGCTCTTGTGAATCAGATCACGTAAGAACTGAAGTATACAGGTTGACGGCTATTTACGTCGAGACAAGAGTGGCGATACGGGGTTTCTTCTCAACTCCAAAAGAACTTCCATGGAGGGAGTTATGAAATAGTAGTATAAACAGAGAGCAGGACAAAACCGCATAGCGAAATTTCATGGTGCCAGCCATCACTCTCATCCACACTGCTATTACCTTTTGACCACGCACCACAAGATACGAGTTCTGATGTTTCAGACGCTGAAGTGCACAGAGTCACAGATAAGTCCCAGTCAGAATCATCTCTCTTGACTTCCTAGAAATTGCCCTTTTGGTATCTCTCTTGCAACGAGATAAGGGCAAATCTTTCTCAAATCAGAAATTCTTGCATGCGTATATGCCAGATATTACCCGAGGGCAGCCGTCGCTTAGGCATCTTGAGTGCATTGAGGCCCATGCTGCGGCAACTCGCGGGTAGGCGCAAGGCGAAAAGCTGTGGGCCCAACGCCGCATGGAAAGACGGAGAAACATTCGAGGGCCGGGAACAGCAAAAATACAGTATTCCGTTCCAAAAAAACAACCAGTTGTGTAATACCCAGACACGCTTAGATTTTGTTGTTTTTCTGGGAAATGCCTCACGATTTCCGTGGAGATATTGGCACTGACAAAGGACCACAAGACAGGAGACCTGCATACGCCACGCCTAGACAGATGGTTCTCCGCTTGGGCTCACAGCCGCTGAGTACACTACGCCATACCGGGAATAACAATTCCGAGCAAACACGTCCCGATTCGGGCAACGAAAATCCAGCGAGATCCTGAGTGCTGTCCAGACACCCGGACCGCCTGTGGAGTGGGCAGCAATATAGAGAGGGAGCCACGGCCGGGCCCGAAAAAGCAATTCTCGCTGCGTGGCTCTCTGGCAGGTACAGGGCCTTGGTGCCAGAGGGCAAAGATGACTTGCTGCACCTGCACACAGAACACCCGGTGGAGCAGCCGGGCCCCTGGTCTCACATTAGTCATGCGCCAGCAGGGCAGGTAGATATAAATCCCGTAGCTGTCGCCAATGTAGAATGCGGGCGATAATTTCGGTTCTTCTGAATCTCTTTACCTCTCCTCACAACCTTCTCTAGATTTCGGCATTACAGCACAATGACCGTGCCGGCCTTTGAGTACTCGACCCATAATGAATTTCGCAGTGATACGTTTACGGTGCCCACGGCCTCCATGAACAATGCCGTGGTCCAGGGCTTGTCTGACGGCTCTCTTCTGGTGGGAGACTCTGTTTATAAAGAGGACCCGCTCACGTTGCAATTGGAGGCCAAAATGAGCGCACTCACCGGAAAACCCGCTGCTTTGTTCTGTGCTTCAGGCACGCTTTCCAACCAGGTGGCTCTCCGGGCACACTTACACCAGCCTCCATACTCGATATTGTGCGACCATCGAGCACATGTATTTTTGCACGAGGCCGGGGGTTTGGCGTCGCTTTCGCAGGCCATGGTGCACCCGGTGATTCCCCAAAACGGCAATTACTTGACTTTAGAAGACATCGAGGACAACTTCACGCCCAGCGACGGCGACATCCACGGGGCGCCCACCAAGGTGATCAGCTTGGAAAACACGTTGCACGGCATAATCACCCCCATTGGCGAAATACGGCGGATCTCGCAGTTTGCCCGCGAAAACAACCTCAGGCTCCACTTGGACGGCGCACGCCTATTCAATGCCCTGGTGGAAACCGGAGTTTCGCTCAAGGAATACTGCTCGTACTTCGACTCGGTGTCCATATGCCTCTCCAAGTCCGTGGGCGCGCCCATGGGCTCTGTTTTGGTGGGGGAACAGCCATTAATAGATACTGCCAATCACTTCAAGAAACAGTGCGGCGGCGGCATACGGCAGGTTGGAATCATGGCGCTCATGGCGATGGCGGCCATTGACGAGAACGTGTCGCTTATCCACAGAAGCCACGAGTACGTGAAAGAAGTGGCGCAGTTCTGCGCGGAGCACGACATAGCACTCGAGTCGCCGCCAGACTCCAACTTCATTTTCTTGGATATGAAGAAGAACAAGATGGACGACAAGAAGTTGGTTGCGTTTGGGAACAAGCACCACGTGCGGCTCATGGGCAAGCGGATTGCCTTCCACTTCCAGCTCAGCCGCGAGTCTGTCCACAACCTCAAGCAGGCGTTGCTAGAAAGCAAGCAGGATGCGATTCAAAACCCGTATGTGGGCAGATCGCTGGCCAAGAATATGTATAATGTGGATGTGGTCAAGCTGATCCAGGAAATGGCATTGCACGGCTAGTGGAGGGGAAGACTGCGGTTTTCGGAAGAGCCAGTCATAAATTGGCCGTTTTAATTAGAAACGTTGCGGCAGAAGAATGTAATCCAATGGTTCAATGGAGGAGTAGTTTTGCGATTGAACTATAGGTCCCTCCAAGTTGACATGCGGCGTACGTGTTTGGTTGTCCGGGCCAAATGATGAAGTGCCGATCCATTTATTTGCTGGACGGTGATTTCATCGGGATGACGTCATCCACGCCTAATTGATTCGGTGTGACCGGATTTCGTCTGACTACAGAGAGGAAGCCTGATTTTGCAAGGTGCTTGTGATATCCTGTTAATTCTCTTGCTCACTACTAAAAACCTGGACAAGCAGAAAATCACATTTGCCCCCGATGCGAAAGGAACGAGCAAGGGCCTGGAGGTGAGAGGAACATTCCAATCGGTGTTCGACATGCATCTGACTGAATGCACCGCAGAAATACGGCTGAACATGCGCATAAGGGGATATCGGTGTTGAGACGATACAGAGCACCATGCTTCTTTCCAACCACAGTCTATCAGGGCCAATGTCATGGGGTGAATGTAATATATGCGCAATGTATGAAGGGTTAAAATGCAGTAGGTGTACTAGGGCTTAAAACACAAGCCCTATGTGCTATAGGGTCTGTGCACAACAGGCTCAATATACTAACACTGCAAGCTTACACTATAAGCTCAGTACAGAATTATGAGCTCAATGCACGATGTATTCAATAGACTTTCGTTACAAGAGACTATGTTTCCACTAGCTACATACCACTAGCTATGCAAGGGACTTCACGGGGCACGCGGATTGCCATTATTGGAACACTGGAACCTTTGGAACTCTGTGGGAGCTATATTCCATCTCCGTGTCTAATCTAGAGGTCACGTGAAAGGGCTCTGGAACCCGAAAGATTTTTCCATGGGTGATATCCGACGGAACTCGCGATAAGAGTAGTGCATATAGCCGCATATGCGCGTACAGGGACCGTACAAGCTATACCAATACTGTTAGCCGACAGCTATGTACCAATAGCTGTGTCCCCAATAATATACATCCAGTAGCCAGCGACTACTACCGGATGTTTATTCTAGGATTCGATGATGTATCTAATTCGGAAACAAATGCGGGTCAAGAGGACCGCCAGGCCGTGGCAAGCGGAAGGGGCGGGCCAAGTCTAGGTACGTATCGGGGAGCTGTTTGAAGGTTATGTTATCGTAGCTGTGTCCTGTAATACCAGAAACAAAAACAAAAACAAAAATAAAACAAACAACAAACAAAAAACAAACAAAAAACAAACAGAGACGGACAAGGGTTCTCAGCACACAACAGCAGTGCAAGGTGACATTGCTGTCGAGGTGCAGCGAACATCGCTTCTTACTTTCACCGAATCCTTAAATAATTGTCGCTTCAGCCATCGATTCACTTCAAAAAAAAAAAAAGACACAGCTAGGATTCTGGCCCAGATGCGGAAGCACCAGTCCTGTAGAGAGTTACTCGCCCAGATAGGCCATAACTATCTTGCCTTCCAAGATAGAGAGGGAAAATCTCACCACCGGTATAGCCGGTCATTCATCAACTACAAAACTCTAATATCAATGTATATTATCGTGACACTGATGGTATTGCTGTAGATAGTCCGTTTCACTCGACGGTCCAAAGCTAAAATACGACAATCAGCCACTAACGAAAAAAGCCAATCACTGGCCACTTCCGTGAATGTCCGTGGACGGCCCGGAAAGACGTCAGCACGAGGCTGGCTCCCTGGATGCAGTCCCGCAACCTTCCGCAGAGGCGGGACCTGGAACGCCATGGAAAGCGGCCGCCCCCCGAAAAGTGCCGGCAGAAACCATTCTGGGATTTTGCACAAATTGCTACCTTCAAAAAAAAAAAACAAAAACGCTCATAACCACACGGTCCTAATCGGCAGCCCCCTCGGCACGCCGCCGTGGCCCGGCCATGGCACGGCAGAAACCGGGCGAGTGCCGAAATCAGAACAATCTAGCGCGCGGCTGGCGCCGTCGTGCACATCCGGCTGCGCGGTTCCGGCTCCCTGCAGGACCGCATCCATGGTGCCGGATTTTGCATCCTTTTCCCCGGAACCGTTCGTTGCTATATAAGAAGCCCCATGCCCCCGTCGTGGCTCCCAGAATCCATACCCTCAACTACCGGAATCCCAGGCCTTTTGCTCCATACACACCAGCATGAGTGAAACGTCATCTTTCGCAGACTCGTACAACCCGCGAGAATACGGCGAGGCCGATGCCGCCAGCAAGCAGCTCAAAAACAGCCTCTCCAGAACCGAAACCGGCAAGTCGCTACGAAGCTTGGGCCTCGACAGCTCCATCCCCCAACCCGACATCATTGCGCCTCCGGTCAGCAACCCGATTTTCCCCGAGGAGTACAATTTGGAGACGGAAACCGGACTTGTCCGTGTCGAGACATTGCGGTCGTTGGGCCGGACTAAAAGCGGCAAGACAGAGGAGTCCAGCAGCGACAAGACCGCGGCAGAGCTTGATCCGGACATCGAGCTTGTCACGTTTGTGAACAACGACCCCGAAAACCCGTACAACTGGCTGCCTCGCTGGAAGTGGTGGTACACGTTTGTGTATTCGTGGGCTGTGATCAGCGCGGCCTACGGCTCGTCTTCCTTGGCGGGTGGTTTGCCCCTCATCAACGAGAAGTACAACGTGTCCACGGAGGTGTCCACGCTCACGGTGTCGTTGATGGTGATTGGATTTTTGGTGGGCCCGTTGCTCTGGGCCCCGCTCTCGGAGCAGATCGGCCGCCGGCCGGTGTACATCATCAGTTTCTTCTTGTACACGGTGTTCAACATCCCCGTGGCGTTGTCGCCCAACATCGGCGGGGTGCTTGTGTGCCGGTTTCTCCTTGGCGTGTTCTCGTCGTCGGCCTTGACCAACGTGGGCGCCTCGTTGGTGGACATCCACAACGAGACGCGCGGCTTGGCCATTGCGTTCTTTTCCTTCTGCCCCTACTCGGGCCCGGTGCTCGGCGGTATCGTCAACGGGTTCATCAGTGTGGACTCCGGCCGCTACGACCTCATGGTATGGATGAACATGGCGTTTGCCGGCGTCATGTGGGTTTTGATGGCCACCATTCCTGAGACCTATGCGCCAGTGATCTTGAAGAAAAGAGCCAAGCGCTTGAGGAAGGAAACGGGCAACCCCAACATCATGACGGAGCAGGAGGCGTCGCCGCTCTCGTTTTCCGAGTTGGTCAACAACAACTTGGTGCGCCCGCTCAAGTTCATTGTCACGGAGCCCGTGTTGGACTTGATCTGCTCGTTCGTGGCGCTCATCTACGCGTTGCTCTACGCCTTTTTCTTTGCCTACCCCGTGATTTTCAACGAGCTCTACGGCTACGGCGACGACAAGATCGGCCTCATGTACATTCCCATTTTGATCGGGGCCGGCTTTGCCGTGATCACAACGCCCATTCTTGAGTCCAAGTACAAGGTGCTTTGCGGCAGGAGACGCCCCACGCCCGAGGACCGGCTAGTGGGCGCCATGATCGGGTCGCCCTTCCCATGCATCGCCTTGTTTATTCTTGGGGCCACGTCGCAGAAAGACATCATCTGGGTGGGCCCCGCGTCGTCGGGCATTGCCTTTGGCTTTGGCATGGTGTTGATCTACTACTCCTTGAACAACTACATTCTCGACACCTACCACAAGTACGCGGCGTCCGCGTTGGCCACCAAGGTGTTTTTGAGAAGTGCCGGCGGGGCGGCGTTCCCGTTATTTGTCACCCAGATGTACGAAGGCATGGGTCTCCGTTGGGCCAGTTTCTTGTTGGCGTTCGTGTCCTTGGCCATGGTGGCTGTGCCGTTTGGCTTTTACAAGTACGGCGCTCCTTTGCGGAAGAAACTCTGCAAGGAGGACTACTCGGTACAGCTCTAATCCCTGTGGCTAGCTCTCTTATCCCTGTGGCTAGCTCTCTTATAGATTAATTAATATTCGGTACAATGCGTCTCGCGAGAAGCAAATCAAGAAATGAACCACAGCCGCACAAAATAGTGCCACGTGTGGGGAGAACAGTGGCCCGGTGGATCTACCCTTTTGATTGGCTCAATGCAGTCTGGTCGGTATACTTCCTGTTTGGTTTCATTTCACCTTTAGTGGAAAGCACACCCTGATAATTATGAGTACACGACGATCAGAGAGCACTGAGAAGTCACCTTTCCATTTGCCTCGCCCTACGAGAAGTCTTAGGAATCTTAGAGTTCGCACGCTGTACATGGTCCTCATCAGGGCCATCAGTCCTCTGATTGACTCCCCGTCACTTGCTGACGAAGCCTTGTATTAATAAGAACAATACAGCATATGCAAGAGTTTGAGCGTCTGGTTCGAATTCACCCGGTGCCTCATCTACCCCAAGACTCCCAGGACAAGAGCACACCCAATACTCTCCCCGCCCCATCACCACTCTCTTCGCAATACAGACCAGCTCGTCTTACATACGCCCGTCTTGCACCATACCACCAAGCCTAGGCCTCGAGCGGGTGCTCGAACATGGCCCGCGCCAGCCCCGCAACATCCGAGACAGCCACGCCCGGCGAGTGCTTGGTGTCCCTGAGCAACTCCGTGACATCGGCCAAGCTCACGCCCGTGAGCGTCTCCATGAACGCGCCGAGCTCGATGTTCTCGTGGCTGCCCAAGAGACCCAGGTACGCGCCGCGCTGGTAGAGCTGGCGGTTGATGTGCTCCGAGTTCGAGTACGCGTAGATGTTGACGTCCACGGCCGAGTGGCCGTGGGTGGTCCAGCCGGTCTGCGAGCGCACGGACACCATGTTGTTCAAGAAGTACAACAAGCGCTCGGGCGAGCTGGCGAGGCGCGCGATCTGGGCCACCTCGTCCGCGGTGTGGTCGAGAATGCCCATGTCCGCCTCCACGATTTCCTCGGCAATGAACTTGCTGAAGGCCGCGGCCTCGAGATCCGGGCCGTACGACCTCCGCTTGCCGAGGATCTTCCTGGTCAAGTACTCGCCCGAGTGCGTGCTGTTGAGCAACACCTGCGGGTACCACAAGTAGTCCGGGTAGGCGGGCGTGACCTGGCGCGCGGTGACGAGCCCGCCGGTCTCGTGGTCCGACGTGGAGATGGCCACGGTGGCCACGTCGGACGCGTCGATGAAGTCCAACACCGCCTTGTACGCGTCGTCGTACGCCAACACCTCCCGGACCTGGGCCGCCGGGTCGTTGTGGTGGCCTGCGTGGTCGATCCGCGAGCCCTCGATCAATAGGAAGAAGCCGTGGGCCGAGTCCGCCGTGGCCTTGCTCAACGCGGTCAACGCGGTCCGCACCTGTTCCGCCAACGAGGGGTGCACGCGCGCGTCGCGGTCGATGTCGTAGGGGATGTCCGTGGGCGCCAAGAGGCCCAAGAGCGGGAGCGTCACGTTCTCGCCCGACGCCAACGCGTCGAACGCCGCGCGGTCGCCCACGTAGGTGTAGTTGCTGGCCTCGGCCTCGGCCACCAAGTTCCGCAGGTCCGCGCGGCAGCCGCCCGGCACGCTGGACGGGAGGAAATGGCACCGGCCGCCGCCCAAAACCAAGTCCACCGTCCGGCCCAACGGGTACCCGCCCAACTGCTGCTCCGCTATCAAGTCCTCCTGGAAGCGGTAGTCGACATGCGCGCTGAACGCCGCGGGCGTGGCGTCCGTGATCCGCGTGGTCACCACGAGCCCGGTGAGGTAGCCCTGCAACTTCAAGGCCTCCAAAATCGTGCCGCAGGGGCTCTTGTCGGGACCCACGCCAATGGCGCCGTTGTACGACTTGAGCCCGCAGCTGAACGCCGTGGCGCCCGCCGCGGAGTCCGTGACCAACGAGTCGTTGGACCGTGTCCGCGAGGTGCCTATGAAATGCTGGTCTAGATACAAGAGATCATCGATCGGCCGCCCGTCGCGGTGCTGGCGGAACGAGCGGGCCAAGGAGAGCGACGCGGGGCCCATGCCGTCCGTGACCATGAAAATCACGTTTTTCTTGCCTGGCGCCGGCGTTGCGGCGGATTGCAGGCCGGTGCTAGCCGCCCAAAGCTTGTATGTGAGCACCACCACCAAGAGCACCTGTGCTGCGGCGACAAGCGAAAGCGGGCGGACCCACAGTTTCTTTTTTGCGTGCTGGCTGTAGTGGAACGGTTGATCCATACTTACTGTCTGATGTCTGTGGGGTTTGCAGGTTTGCAGACGATACCCCGGGTAGTAAGAATCTGGACGAGGTGCGAGGGGAACCTTGTCTTATCAGCGCGGCGCGCGGCGCTGGGTGCAGGACAGAGGTATTGGGTTGGGGCTGGCGGCCCGGTGCTGGAAATTGGGGGTGGACTGGGGAGTTTATTGGGGAGTTTATTGGGGAGCTGATTGGGGAGTGGATTGGAGGTGGCGGCCCGGGCTTTGGCTTAAATGTGCTATGTTTGCTGGCGGCCGCCCGTCACGTGTCGAAGCATGGGGAAAGACTACACATGGGGCTAGACTCCACATGGGAAAACTACACAGGACATGGGCGGGACACGCCCAGAGGTTTATTAGCCCCATGTCGACGTTTGCCGTTTGACTGCGCCGTGCCATGCTTGTCACGCAGTGTCGGGAACAGTGGGTCACTTTGGGCGTATGGTGCGAGTCGTGAAAACAGCAATTCAAGTCGTTTGAAAAGAGGGGTGGCGGGAACTCGACGGCTGCAAACCTCACGACTGAGGCACGCTGTGTCTTGCGGACGGCCCGGTATCGGCCCGAATAGTACTATACGTTCATTTTGCCGCAACTCTCGGCATATGAAGAAACCGGAAAAGACCGTGCAAGCTGCATTCAAGCGATCGCGGAATACGCTCGAGGCAGGCGTTTTTTCACATCCAGCAGCTTCGAGACTGGCTTTCCACACTCTGTAAGAAAGCATGACGCCGTTCTGACGGAACCCTCGGCGGGCTCCGTCTCGAGACCTAAAAGAACCACAAGCATCAAAGAATATTCACCTTTCAGATGTGGGGACTCAGTCCCGGGGCCAGGAGCACCAAGGAATGACGTTCCCCGGGAATCAAGTTCCGCACAAACAGAAGAGCACCAAACACACCTGGGTGGATAAGATTGTGGGCAAGGAAGTCTGAGGTCCAGAGGCGGTGACGGCGAAGGAAGAAGGAGGGGACGGGGCAGAGGAAACAAAGAAGACGGCACCGAAAAGAGAGCATTCGAGTCTGAACTGAAGAAACAGGAAGATGACTGAGATATCAGCTGCTCCAGAAACGTATGTTTGATTTGTATTTCTGACACTCACCTTGTGCCACACATACCCTCTTTGTAGCTTTACATTTCTTTGAGTATAAGTTCAAATGATGAAACTAGAAAGGCTTAGTCGGTCCAAGCCTGAAGGTTTACTAGGCGCCTCCAATTCTAGGCCGTACTTCCATGCTCTTGCATCAATAGCACGACAACAAAACATGGTGCTCATAAAATTTCGCGGTCTCTCAAGGTATTCTCGAGTATTGTCTCTTTGAGCGCAGTGAAGACCAATTGAATGTTCGAAGTGTCAGTTGCTACTCCAGCCCGCCACATCACTTGACAAGTGCCTGCGAAATCCATGGTACCTACAAATCCATGTATTGGCGCAGCGAAACGCGGCACATACTCTAGAATAAGACTGGATGTCCTGTCAATCGAATAAGCCGGAAAACAAACAGACCCGGAGCCATTACAGTGTATCATTGTGGAAGCTTTACAATACTGTACAATGGCTAAAACTCCCAAGCTGTGATCGAAAACTCAACCGGCTAAAGTAATACGCCACCTTAAAAATCCGTGGCCACGACTCATTCTTGCGGATTGGAGCTTTAGACATTCCTGGAACCTCAACTCTAGCTTTAAATAGCCCTATAAAACGCCAGAGTTTCATTGTAGAGCCACTTTGGAGAGGGACGGCTGTTCCGGCCCGCTGGCTCAGAAAATGGACGATGGCTCAGGAAAGACGCCCAGATTTGACACGCATTCCTTTTTTAGGACCGTGCAAGACCCAAAGAATCAAAAGCTAGGATACATCAAAGTTCGCCGCAAAAGTGAAAAAAAGCGGTGGTTTTCCTTATCCCAAGAAAGAAGGCTTGTAGAATACGCTTCGAGCTGGAATGAGAGACGCTCCATCCGTGATATAGACGGAACAACGAGAAAAAAATAACCACTTCGTATTTTCAGTGACCATAAGAAGCCAACGTATTTCAAATTTCAACAAGAAATACAAATCATACACCCGGCCGCAGCCCTCATGTAAATCCGTGAGCTACAACAAGATAAACCACAGGAAGCACCATGTATCTATATTGCTAATCTGTGGCTAGAAATCATCAATTGCATGGCCCTCGATATGCCGGGCAAAATGCTTTGCGACTACTATATCCATCACCAGAAGACCCACTAGTTTTTGCAAAACAACCCCACATCTGCTTTTCCCGATATCCTTTATATCCACAGACTTCTCGTCAAGCTCGGTGAGCGAAATCAATTGGCTCTCCGAAATGTTGCCCTGAATTAACTCACCGGCTTCCGAAAGACAATGGCTCTTGGAATCGACGATAATTTTGGTGCTCTGGCCCGTGTAAAACTCACGGAGAAACTGCAAGTCAAGCTCAATCATATGAGGCTTGTACGAGCCAATTAAAGATACAAATGTCGTTTTTCCTGGATCAGAATTAATATACGTGCTTTTGATTATGGCGTCCGTGGAAGGCGTGCAACCAAAGATGAGCGAGCTTTCCCTGACACTTGCCTCAATGGACAAAACGTCTTCAAAGCCAAAAACAAGCAACTTTTGGGTGATCACACCGCGGAGCTTGTGTGCAAGCGTTTTTGCAGATTCAGAAGTTCGGCTGATGATGTTCACCTGAGCTAGATTAGGATAGAGTCTGGTGGCCAAGATCACGTGCCAGAACGCCTGGGGCCCGGCGCCAAAAACCAGCAAAGACAACAAATTTTCATTCGCCAATTTGGGATCAAACACCTTGACCATGGACACGCAGCTGGCCAAAGCTGTGCGGAAGGCCGTGAGTGTCTTTGCATTTAAAACAGCCAATAATTCACCCAGATACTCGTCGAGCACCGAGACATTGCCCTGGAATCCCAAGCCTTTCGCCAGATTCGAGGGGCCTCCACTGATGACCTTAACACCTACAATTTCCGGTAGTATACAAGGCATAAAAAGATGGGTGGAATCCGAGTCTGGGGTGGTGGAAACTCGTACCGTGCGTTCTGGAACTGCGTCGGGAAACTGCTGAAATTTGGTGAGGCCCGAAAGAAGCAAGGGAACATAAACATTTAGGATTGTATCTTTGTCCAAATTTTCCATAAGGTATGCCGTAATGGCCGAGTCGGAGATGACTTTCATTTTATCTGCGATTCCATGTCGAAAACCGGGATCAGACTGGACTATTATATGAGAAAGCATTCGGCGCACGTGACCTCCAGTTTTGGGATCTCATCCCCGGATTTCTGGACGCTCCGGAACCGGCGCAGCGGTGGCGGGCTTATCTTATCGAGAATTCGGTCTGGCAAATGGGTCGTTGAATTTTTCAAGTATGTGTATTTTTATTTGTCTTGAATTTTATTTCAATCTTTATGCTGACTGGGAAACTTTATGGACTTTGTGGCCCGAAAACATCAATCTCTTTAGGATATTTTGGTCGATTAGTGATTGGTCCATGCTGCACCGGCCAGGGCAAAACATGGCAGTCGTAAGCGAGATATCCGAGAATGCATATAATATATTTCAAGGGGGGTTGACTAGCCGAGATCTGCCCGTATGTGTTGAATCTGATCATTTCAGTATTTCTGAATATTCACAATCTGTGATTGATAACTAGTATTTGTTTGAGCATTTTCAAAATTAGCGGGTATACGAAAAGCTCAGACATTTTCAACACCACTCTCTTAACAGGCTGATACTGCAAAATTAGTGAATGGACGCTAGTATTAAGCAAAAAATGATCATTAAACCCTACAAGATGTTCATCAATAAACATTCGTGTTTGCGAAAAAACTACAGAAAAAAATACAAAAAATCGAATAAGCTCAGCTCTTTTGGCTCTAAACAAATGAAGATCTAAGTAAATGTACTCAAATATGATCCCGCATCAAATCGAGAACGACTTTCTAGTGCGCATACAGCACCTCGCATTCATAGTCTAGCTCCATTGCCTCGGGCTTTATCATTCGTTCCCTTTCTGCTTTGAGATCCATTAATATCTTCTGTAATTCTGGGAACCCAGCCGAATCAGGGAAATGCGTCGTGAGTATGTCCTCTAGGTTATGAATCAAAGAGAACACATACGCTCGAGCCATGACTTCATTTGTATCCATAGATTTGTAGACCTTGAACTTCCACGACGTCTGCTTCAACGCAGAAAGAAGCGCCGATCGTCCATGTGCGAGTTGCGCCTCAATACTTCTCTGGACCAAGTCACATGATGCGACTTTCACAAACAACATCTGGGGCGTATTTAATTGATGTTGATGAAGGATTTTGGTCAAAATCTCACCATTTCGGGCCGTGGTGGCTTCCCAAACAAGAAATGAGCTTTTTAGAGAGTTCAACTCCTCGATGATGGCTTTTTCCTCGCCCATGCCAATGTACTCGAAAAAAAATTTCCACACAATACGCTCGTAGAACGGCAGAAGCTGATGTTTTCGAATGAGGGGCAAAAACTCAGTGCCAAAGCTCAGTTTTAACTGCTTGACAATCTCCAACGGCTGTTGCAAGTCGTGGTACTTCTTCAAAAGGAGAATTTTGAGCTCGACAAAATTAATGTTGGACCAGCCATGCTTTGTGAACTCCGAACGATTAATGTTGGCCACGTCAAAAGGGAGTTTCGTGAGGTCTTTGAGGTGTTTGTTGAGTAGAAAACGCATTAAAAGCGGCAACGAGAGCTGCTTTTCGATGTACGACGAGCGGAGGAGATCCAACAACTCGGCCTCGTTCGTTAGAGATTTCACGTGCACATTTAGGTTTTTGATGGCGGGCAGTTTCTTGGGCCACGAGACGAATTCTGTGGCGTGGCGCAAATCGGACATCAAGTTAGCAATCAGTTTTTGGTGTACGGCGCTGGGCCCCTCAAAGCTTATAGGCTGCTGGTGCTTGAATTCCGCGTATTCTTCCGAAACAGAGCCTTTTTGGAGATTTCGGAAAAGCGAAGGTTTATATGTGGTGCTTTTCGTGATATCTTTATGAGGCGCTAGTAGGCCCAAAGCGCCCGCAAGGGACAAGGAGTCTGTTTTTGTGCTTTTGTATTTATTGAAGATGAGCCTCATATGGCCCTGCCTAGCCAAGGATCCCCTGCTCATTTTTTTTGTTGGAGTTTGAAGGGCAGTAGAGATGAGAAGAGGATGGCCAAACGGATGGAGCAGGATCGTCTTGCTATGCCCTGTTTTTGAAGTGAACGTCAAAGCTCAACAGAATAGGTCCTTATTATTGGTCAATAAAATGCTGATTAATGCTGTGTGCTTGGAGAAAGAAGTATGTTGGGAGGTTGAGGATGCGTGACTATGAGGCCTCTCGCACGAGTCACGTGCCCGCAATGGTCAAGGTTGGCCATGTAATTGGGCCGCGCACGCCTTGAAAGTCGATTTTGCAGGTTCCAAGGCAAAAGACAGGGAGCATTGGGGCGGAATGTTGAGTGGAAAATCTAGTGAGCTCAGATCCAGGAATAGTAATTATGGGCAAGACCTTAAGAAGACCCAAATTCAACAAGCAATATTTGAGACGTAGTAAGCCTGATCGCGGCCGCGCATTTGCAATTGCAGCATACTGCAAAAATCATGGCCATCAGACGGTATTGCTGCCGAATGATTGAGCCTCTCCATTTCTTTCGGTGCAACATTTTGCGATAGCATTTGAATTCTAGCTCTTGAGAACTTCAGTAAATGACAAACGTTACAATCTGCGGTATGTATATGGGGCATCAGCTAGCTCATGGCTTTACGTGATATGCGTGAACTTCGTAATATGCGTGGACTTCGTAATATGCGTAGACTTCATAATATGCGTGGATTTCATAATATGCGTGAACTTAGTAATATACGAGGGCTTCGAGAACTCGTTTATGCTCAAGTTCAAGCGAAATCATCAGTTCAGTAATATGTGTCATACTTTAATTAGAAACGACAAAGAAGGTTTCGCTACAATGTCCAGGACATTATAAAACTAGAAATCACAACTTTTATTAGGTTCAGAGATATATATATATATATATATATATGCTTACGACCAGTAAGTAGGGCTTCACAACTTCTGTGTTT